TGAGTGTTGAATGATGAAAGTATTTTCTTTTTGGGGATTTTCTTTCTCTTTGGATCACCATGCCTCGGTGGGAGACAGCCGACTTGTTGAAAAAAAAAATTAAAAACAAGCTCCAAACTCATATGGGGCATAGATCACTGATATGAGCGTACCTGAAGGAGACAGTGCTGTAGGTTGATGTGGATGTCATTCAGGGTACCATTAGAATGCGATTATTGTCTCCCATTTTTCGACTTCATAAAGGCAACTCATTTTGGGTCTTGACTCATCCTCATTAGATCTGTCGGTTTAGCTTCAGCAAATATATATATATATATATATATATATATATATATATATATATAATATATATATATATATATAATATATATATATATATATATATATATATATATAATTCTAGATACTACAGATGCTGAACGCTTTAATATAAAAATGGTTGCAGTTTTCAAGAGTGACGGATACTTACACATCTCTCGTGGAACAGAACAAAAGATATTAAAAAGTAAAGGATTTCTGCACCTTTTACTTTGTGCAACTGAGGCTGGAGAAGTAAATAGGAGACGGACGTGCGACGTTGGCAAGACAAAGAACCATTGTTTTGTAATACAAAGGCAGAGGACTTGTCTGCTTCTGCCCCTCAGCTCTTGCGTGCACGTGAATGTGTGCGTTAGTGCCTGTGTCCAGGTGTCTGACTGACAGAAGATAGTCAGTCAAGTCAGTCTTTGCGTGTAACTGCTGTTGCTTGTGGCTAGGTACTCTATCTTCATTACTAGACAAAGTTTGTTTGGACAAAATTTGTATAGATGTTCTTCAGTCTGTTAGTAAGAACGTTCATGAATATCGCTCTGAGATGATGTGGTTTTAATAATACGTTTTCTGCTTTTCCAGGTTCGCTTTACTGCCTCCGCTGGAAACAAGATCAATTACGTGTCGAGGATGATTGTGGTATCGTCGCTGGTAGATGTGGTGGCATCACAGAGAATATGAGTACCAGTGGCGGAACAATTAAGGTGGAAGACTCGTCACAGCGTAGGACAACAGAGGGTTGAGTGTTTAGAGTTCTTGGTCCCTTGGTGTTTAGTGTCAGAGCTTCAGTGTGACATATGGGCGACGGCACTGTGGCAGGGCGTTCATCGCAGTGTAGTCGCCTTAATCTGTAAAACAGTGACAAGACTGTGCGGTGATGCTTTCGTTGTTGCTGCACCTCGTAAGCTGATCCCAAGTTGTGTTACTGATGACAGTGTCTTGATCCCTGTGTGTGTGTTACTGATGACAGTGTCTTGATCCCAGTGTGTGTTACACTCATGACAGTATCTTGATACTCGGCTTCTTGACCTCGATACCATGGCGGTTCAGGTCAACTTGTGCTGGGTACTTTTGTTGGCCGTTCTGGTGGAGCTGAGCGTGGCCACCGACCTGCATAATAGTCTTATTAATTCCTCTACACTAGAAGTCAACGAACCGCGCCGGGAGGATAAAGAACGAAAAATCAAAACAGCCAGACCGAAAGACCCTCTTGTAGTTCAAACCAAGAGTGGTCTGATAAGGGGTTTCAGGAGGAATGTCTTCGGGCAGAACTTAGACTCGTTTTACGGTATTCCCTTCGCTAAACCGCCGGTGGGAAACTTGCGGTACAAGAAGCCTGTCCCAGTTGACCCTTGGCCTGGCATCCTGGATACAGTGAAGCTTCCCCACACCTGTGTCCAGGAGCCGTTTAACTACTTCCCTGGATTTATTGGCGAGCAGATATGGAATCCAAACACACCGCTCTCCGAAGACTGTCTCTATCTGAATATCTGGGCACCTGCACGCCTCCGAGAGCCAGGGGTGGAGAAAACAGAAGTGCTGGTGTGGATCTATGGTGGCGGCTACATGGGTGGCACGACCACACTCGATATTTACGACGCTCACATCATGGCTTTAACAAACAACTTCATTGTCACCTCGATGCAGTACCGCTGTGGAGCCTTCGGTTACTTGTATCTGGACATGGAAGACGCTCCCGGTAACGTGGGAATGTACGATCAAGCTCTGGCCATGAAGTGGATTCGTGATAACATCGCTTTCTTCGGTGGAAACCCAGATCGAATTACGCTCTTCGGCGAGTCAGCCGGCGCTGGCTCTATCGCTGTTCACCTGCTGTCTCCAGTGTCCAGCCATTTATTTGACCGTGCAATCTTGCAGTCTGGCGTCATCAACTCCCCGTGGTCCATCATGTCCGCTGACAAGGCCTATGACATAGGCCTACGCCTCGTAGACGACGTCGGATGCAACGCTTCCAAAATAAACGAGAATCCGGAGATGGTGATGGAGTGCATGAGACGAGTGGACTCAGCGACTATCTCACTCCAGCAGTGGAACAGCTACTTTGGTCTTCTTCAGTTTCCCTCCACCCCCATCGTCGACGGCGCCTTCCTCCCTGACGACCCTCTAGAGATGGTAAAACGTAAAGAAGTTAAGAAGACTGAAGTTCTTATCGGTTCCAATCTTGACGAAGGTAAGCGCTAACCGAGTTACTTGATTTCAAGAGCAGATGTGTGTGTAAATTTCTAAGCGCTTTTTTAGGATAGCGCAACCAAGTGTGTATCCTTCAGTTTTTTCCTTAGTATGCTTTTTTTTTTTTAACTTTTAAAAATCTCTGGTGTCTTGAGAAATGTTTGCTCTGTTTGGCGTGTTGAATTTTGCCTTTGCATACGTTTAAAACTTTGTTAAAGAGGCCCACCCAACTGATAAAGCATACGCAAGCACACAACACACACACACACACACACACACACACACACACACACACACACACACACACACACACACACACACACACAAGTGTCTCACATTATTAATATTTAATAGAAATGTTATGGAGACATTTGGGTATTTGTAAAATTGCTGAACCTTATTGTATTTTAAAATGTGTTTGTTGGGTTTAAGGTCTATCGAGTATATGGGTCATTGAGGCCATTATCATCCTGTACACTAACATAATTAATATATTGATCCCTAAAATAGGGATTATATTGCATTCAGTGTATATACACACTGAAATATAGTCATGCAAAACATGCCACAAAGGGATGGAAAAATGTTAACTCTAGGATTTTCTCACTCTTACGAATGCTTCTTCAGGAGCCGTGCAACATTGCAACAGGTTTTAATCGCCTGTTTGCGATCTCTCTCCCTCTCACATACACACACACACACACTCAAACATACCAAACACAAAGGCCAAGTGCCTTTGACAATTAGTAACTATTCACACGAACACACACACACACACACACACACACTATCACTTGTGGGGTCTACGTAGGATCAGTACCAGTCATGGCAATGTGCTTAGTATAAATGTGTGGTATATATATATATATATATATATATAATATATATATATATATATATATATATATATATATATATATATATATATATATATATATATATATAATTTATATATATATATAACCCTACTAGAAATAATAAATAAATATGTGAAAGTGTTCACTAGACACTCAGAATAATCGTAATGCTCTTCAAGAAAATTAATTTAGCAAGAAGAGTGAGAAATGAATGATTGAGGGGCCGTCAGAGCAGTGTAACGTAACGGGAAGTTTAAACAGGATCCATGAAGACGACATTATCAATGAAAAAAAATGTCATTTGAAAACCTTAGGCTGAGGACAGGCTCTGGGACGGAATATAAACATCAAGTTTTTCGCTAAAGCATTAATTATATAAGTTTTATCCTGAAGATGGGGATTGATTTGTCACCGAAACGTTGAATAGCACTTAAATAAATGTCTTAAGTTGAATTTCATTCTCTTCCACCTGCTATTAACTATATTTTTGCAACTTCAATCATTCTTTTACCTGTTATTCTTTAACATTATGGGAAGTGTCACTTTACCTGTGGGAGAGCAAGGAAAGAGTGGAGTTTGAGCTTCCCTTCGGTAATCACGAAACAAACACTGTTGTAGTGTAGTAATATATAAGCAAAAGAAATGCATATACTCTCTCTCTCTCTCTCTCTCTCTCTCTCTCTCTCTCTCTCTCTCTCTCTCTCTCTCTCTCTCTCTCTCTCTCTCTCTTCGGCATCACTGCCAGTAAGAGATATAGCCGGAGAATGGAGCAGAATATTAGTAACACAGGTACAAAGGAAGGTAGAGCCAGGCCGTCAGTCCCATCACAAGGCTAGGAACATATCACGAGCTATACTCTCAAAAATAATATTTTCCCCCCTCCGTGTTCTTGTTTACACTCTCAAAGACAAACACCAAGGGTAGTGATTGATTTTGAGTACCCATATATTCCTACCACCAATATTTACAAAAAGTACAGAGTGCAGTAGAGCAGCAATGTACGCAGATATTATAAAAATCATAGTAATGATGAGTGAGATAGTACAGCGAGTTCATTCACTGGTGTAAATATACTATTAACTTGACCGTCGTCAACGTCTCATCCATTGGTTGGCCTCGAAACCTATCAGCCAATTACATCGTTGTTGTGGGCCCCGACAACTGCACCGCGTCAACTGCCGCTTGGTTGGTGCAGAAGGGCTACAAGAATTGCTTGTGTGACAAATGCTGAATAAATTGTAACGTACTCACCATTTGCCACACAAGACCAGTATATTGAAATGCGAAGTAAAATTTCGCAGGAACAGAAGATGTAGAAATTCATTTTAACACTGCTACTGCTACAGAAACTCCCAATTCTGTTTCTACTACTGATATATTAGCGGCTATTTGTAAATTGGGTAGCGTACGTATGTACAGAATTAGCACAACAAAAGATTTATGCTCAAACGTGATATGATATTAATAACAGAACGCGCTCCTTCAGCTATAAGTCTAAATCCAATTACTTTTAAGTCAAGGCGACCCCTATTCAACATATTTTGTATTCGTATAGACCAAAATAACGGCTGTATTCAGAATTCGTTTGCACAGTTTGTGCTGTAGCTGACGAGTGACCCACATTCTGCTCTCCAAACGAAAAACGACCGACATTCTTCCACAGAGCTGAAGAATGACTTACATTCTGGTCCTCGCGTGAATTATTACTCACATTCTTCTGCTCGAAGAGTGACCAGTATTATGGCGTCAGGCAGCGGCAGGACACTCCCCACTCTTGTAATCACAATTTGGTATAACCATCTTCGTACGTAATCACGTTGGGGAAGTGTTGCATTAAATCTTCCTGTTCTTTTTTCTGAGTAGTTTATGGATGCATAACAACAATTCGTATTCCATCTTCTGGAATTTCTCCAGGAATATACCCAAGAATATCCAGGGATCCTCCCAGGGAATGAAGGTCTTCGCGTCCACCAGGCCTGGCATGGTTATCTTAGTATGTAGATTGATCTTGGGTTTGGTATTTCACTTAAGACGATATCGTCGAAACAAAAATCGTTCTTGAGGTACTCTGATCGCCTTTTTGACTTTCTATTAAACTCCTACTGACTCACTGGGGCTACTAACTACTTCTTATGCAGTAATGTTGATTTAAAAACACACATCTACCAGCTACACACGTAATCCACTACCTTTCCTCTCCATATACCTTCCCATGGCATTCCCTTTTCCACTACAACTCCCTACTACTCCCACATTCCACCAGGGCTCTCCAGGGAATCCTCCAAATCTCCACGGTAACTGTGCTTATCCAGTGGGGATCATTTAGTGCGAAGACCAGACCACGATTCTCGGTCCGATAATCGTGGTCTGGTACCTGCCCAGCAGGCTAAAGGTAATGAAATTATTGTACTTGAAAGAAGATGGCGTCACGAACGGCAGTACAATAGTGAAAGGAGAAAAATGTAGCGGAAAATGAAAATGTCATAGCCATTATGGAGATAAAACTCAGGAGTAATGAAAACTGTGATAAAATAAATGGTGATAAAATAAATGAAACACCAAAAAGGAGTGGCAGAAAAGAGGACCAACCATCAGTGATATTAGAAAGTGAGAAACATAGAAACAGGGGAATTCAAATCCTGTGTACCAGGTACAGTAATATGTAAGAGATAACATAAGAACATAAGAGCATAAGAAAGGAGGAACACTGCAGGAGGCCTGCTGGCCCATACTAGGCAGGTCCTTTACAATTCATCCCACTAACAAAACATTTGCCCAACCCAATTTTCAATGCCACCCAAGAAATAAGCTCTGATGTGAAAGTCCCACTCAAATCCAACCCCTCTCACTCATGTACTTATCCAACCTAGATTTGAAACTACCCAAAGTCCTAGCCTCAATAACCCAACTAGGTAGACTGTTCCACTCATCAACTACCCTATTTCCAAACCAATACTTTCCTATGTCCTTTCTAAATCTAAACTTATCTAATTTAAATCCATTACTGCGGGTTCTCTCTTGGAGAGATATCCTCAAGACCTTATTAATATCCCCTTTATTAATACCTATCTTCCACTTATACACTTCAATCAGGTCTCCCCTCATTCTTCGTCTAACAGAGGTAATATTTCCAATTATATGTAATCCACCACAAACAACCCGCAGGGTAAAGTAAGAACGACAGAGCTTTCCATGGAGGTTCAGTTACACATATAAGAAGATTTTAAACATAGGGAAATTTACTGGAAGAACTGTGATTCGAGCTTGGTATCGGAAATATGGAGGAGGCAGGGAGGACACTTTTCTTTTAGCCAGCATGTAAAGGAAGCGCCAAGAATGAGAGATGAAAGCAAGTTGGTAATTCTTGGCCTGGTTTTCACTCCAAGCTAATATCGCTTAGTAGAAATAGACAATGGTGAGTCTATAGAGAAAAAGAGGGAAAAGAGAAACAGGAAATTAGAGAGGGGGACTATGAAGGTATGGTAACGTTGTGGAGAGAAATAAAATAAGAAAATAAATGGAATGATGAGGCAAAGCAAATGATGATGAGGGTAACATACATAATGTCAAGAAGCAAGAGAAAAAAAATCATATCAAGAAGAAAAAGAGAGAGCCTATTATTCAACGGAAATACAAATAAGCGAAAAAGAGGTCGAATAGGACATTCAGTAAATGAAGAAAGCAGGAAATAAGACAGAAAACGATATAACATTAAAAGGCCAGAAACAGAACCAAAGTTACATCATAGCTACATTAGTAGACATTATAGTGGATCACGTAAAAGGATTGCAGAAGAATGACTCCAGGTTTACGTAAGACAACAGTGAGAAATTCACTGAGAAGACGAGTCAAAAATAAATATTTTGCAAATAAGAATGAAGAAAAATGTGTAAACAGGCTACACTAGACCTGATCTTCACTCTGAATGTTTTAGACTTAAGGCTGATATATTCTGAATGATTCAGACGTAGGGTAGATTCTGAATGATTCAGACAAGATAGATACTCTCTGACTGATTCAGTGATTTAGACATATGGCAGAAGCACTCTGAATGATTCCTACATAAGGTAGATACTCTCTGAATGATTCAGTGATACAAACATAAGGTAGATACTCTCTGAATGATTCAGTGATTCATACATAA